GTATACTACACAGAGTTTCACTCATGGAGCTCTGGTGGCAGAGTGGTTAAAGCATGTGACTGCTAATCAAAACATCAAAAGTTCTAAACCACGAGACAATCTGAGGGAGAAAGCTGAGGCAAGCTGCTTCAGTAAAGATTTAGTCTTGAAAAACCTATGAAGCACTTCTCTGCTGTCCTCCAGGGGCACTGAGAGTAGGATTCCACTCAATGGCAGTGGGTTTGCATTTGGGCTTTCCTTCTGTAGAGACCGACAGCCTTGGACATCCTATGATGCAGTTCCAGTTTGTTCTCTAGGGACAGCGTGAGTCTTAAGAGAATCCACGTGAGTAGGTTCAGTTTGTGTTGGCTTCCGTACAGATTACAGCCTTGGAAAACTATGGGGTAGTTCTACTCTGTCCTACAAGGTCACTATGAATCTGAATCAACTTGAAGGCTGTGGGGTTGTAGAGTTTTATTGAATTAATCATGTCATGCAACCATCAGCAATGCCTCTTGTCAAATTCTCCATCACCATAAAGAGAAGAAATTCCATGACTGCCATGAGTCTGAGTTGATTCAAAAGAGTATTTTTCTTTTTCTTAAATGGGGTAGGTGAGTGTAGGGGAGGTCAGGATGATGGAGGGTCTGACAGTGACATCAACACTGGCCGGGCCCCAGGGAGGTAATCATCACCTTTGGGGTGTAGTAAATTACTTAGTGTGGCTTTTCTACCCATAAGTCTTTGTAAACTCCAAGGTGGGATTTTCTATGAGCAACTGAGGAGCTCCTGATTGCTGAAGTTGTCCACCTGGAGTATTTCTGTTGGGAGTGGTTCAAAACAATGTTTTGGGAGGTGCCCATTCTCTCTCAGGTGATTAGAGTTCTGATGCTATGATTGGCTAGTTTGACCACCCTGCTGGGCTCAAAAGGAGGCCTCCTAGAGGCAGAATGCTCTCTGACTGCTGGTTGAGGAAGACGTGCTGCTGAAAGTGACATGGGCCCCTGAGACACGCGTTGCTGGGAAAGAGACGCAAGAGACATGTATTGCTGAGTGAGACACCGAGGGACCAGCACTGCTGGGAAAGAGACTGTGAGAGACTGGTGGCTGAGGGACGGTGGGCTGGGAGAGAGACTGAGCATTTTTCCTGAACTTGAATTATAGCCTGTGGTGCTTCCCTAATAAACCCCATAATCTGTGAGCTCTGTGTGGCCACTGCAGTGAATTATCAAACCCAGGAGAGAGGTGGTGGGTGCTTTGGGAGGAACGGTTGGAGAAAGGGCTGGAGGGAGGCAGCATGTCTGGCCTTGTAGGAACAGGCCTTGGGTTCCTGCTGGTAATCCTGTCTTCCCCTTGTGGGATTACAGGTCAGAACATGTGGCCTCCTTGCCGTTTTTGCAACCGTCTATCATGGCAGTCCCTTCTGTTATATTTACAGTGTCCTCTGTGATTTACCTGCTCCATGTATCTGAATGTACTCTGTAACTCAGGGATATAAACACTCCAAAGCCCCAGGCAACTTGTGCCCCAGGGCTTCCTCTGTAGGTAACATGGTCTCATAAAATGGCCACAACCATTCATGGACTATAGTCTATAATCACACAGGAGCTACATACAATGGCACAATTACAAATTTCGAAAAGAGGGTATCTGAACTGCGACCCTAAAACTTTTAAATGTATTCCTTTACCAACATGTTTGCTAACTCCTGCTCTATGTCACTGTCCACAATGGATCACATTTCCATTATAGAATTTGGTATTGGGAAGGAATTCCCTGTGTATCTGACTAATTACCATTCCATTTAAATGTGTGAATGTACTCCCCCCACAAAAACCCACCCAATGACCAAACCTGATGGAACTTGAAAACACTCTGAGGACAATGAGCCTTTCTTCCACTCACCCTTCCATTTCCTCTTGAATCTTTCTGAAGGATGCAAAACAGAAGTCAGGAGGACAAGGGGCAAGATGGTGGCACAGATAGCAGCGGCCTCATGATCCTCTATGATGACAAGGGAAAGTACAGATCTGAGAGACCAGGGGTCTTGGACATGTGGACACCAAGAGGACTGGAAAAACATGCTGAGCACCAATGGGAAAAAATGGGAAAGGGACTACGGGGAGGTGAGAATTCATGGACCGTCCAAACTGCATTCACCGCTGAGATCAATGAGGAATTTTCAGATGGCCACAAGTAGCACCAGTTTCCTGCATGATTTCAAAAAATCCAGGGATGGAGCCAAACAGAGTGCTCATAAGAAAGGCCTAGAGGGATGATCAGGGGACAAAGCACAGAGATGAGTAGAACTGAGAGGAACGGAGAGCAGCACAGGTCTGAGTCTTGGGATCCCCAGGAAAATACAACTGGAGACATTTGCATGGACTGGCCAGGTGGAACCCACACAGAACGGATAGGAAGGATGCAGCATGCACATGAGGAAGGGCTGTAAGGCAGGACCGTAGTGCGGGTCTGGGCAGTGGGGGCTGAGTGTCAGGAACAGGAGCCCCAAGACAATCTGGCAGCCACAGGACAGTACCTCACTGGGAAAATCCATCCGCCCCTTCCCTGTCAACTGTAAAGGGGTAGAGAATTGATGTGGTTTCAACTGCTGATCCATTGATGAACAGCTGGGTACTTAAACAGAGTGCCCTCAGGGCTCCCAAACTCACTGCCATCAAGTTGATTCCAACTTAGAGGGACCCCACATTGGGTCTCCAAGGCTGTAAGTGTTTACTCACCCACTATGCCACCAGAGCTCCTTCCCAGAAACAGAAAGTACAGATAATTCCCAGATCTCTGTTCATAAATACCATTCTCTAATGAAAGGAACCAGACTTTCTTGTAAAAAGTCAGATTACAGAACTCAAACAGGAAAAGGGCAAGAAGAGTCTTGTGCATTCTCTCAACACGTACAAATTTTAATGGAAACAGGTACGGAAATACAGAAAACTACTCAAAGGAACTATTAGTTACCATATCTGGAACAGTATGTGCAAAAAACGAGAAAGATGTAAGATGGCTTCCACTGTATGGGAGTGACCAAAACAATGTTCCATTCACCCAAAATCCGTAGTTACAAAACAACTACAATTAAAGCTCTCCCACAGGAAAATTGCCTCCTGCAGTAACGCAATCCCCTCATCCTTACCCACTGTTAAGACACTGTCTACATGCAGCTCAGCCCCATCAGTAGGATCCAGGCAGAGACCAGCATCCCCACTATTTTAAAGGTGAAACTGTAAGGGGCAGGTTCCGTTCTCTGCAATTCCCCCTCTTCCATACCTGCCCTACTCCCCATTGTAGGTCTGCAAGTACAAAGCCCATGTGACCAGTCTGCTGTCTTCTTTAAGTTGGAGGTGGTGGAGGTGAATCAACAGCGATTCTAATAGAATGGACATAGATTATATTAAGAAGTAGGTGCAAGTTTGTAACATTCATCAACAAATTATCATGTATAGTACTTGCACAAACAATAACATACTTGAAACTCTTTGATAGATTTTATGTATACAAAGGTACACACTATGTATAGTATACACTGAAAGATATGAGTGACATTAGATACACACTATAACAAACTCTTTGGAAGAAATGATTAGCATAGAAAATATTATTTGGTAAACACCAGAGTGAAGATTAAACACTACGATCTACATTAAGGATTAAGATTCTGTATGAAGAAAACAAAAATCCTTACAAGTTGACCACTAAGCAGCATCATGATAGATGGAGAAAAGTTAGAAGTTCTCAAAAACTTCATATTACTTGGTTCTACAATCAACACCAAAGGAAGCAGCAGTCAAGACATCAAGATGTACTGCATTCGGCAAATCTGTTGCCAAAAACCCTTTCAAGTGCTGAAGAGCAAAGATATCTCCTTGAATACTAAGAGGTGTCCAACCTAAGCCAAGCCATGGAATTTTCAAGTGACTGTATTCAGCGATGTGTGAAATAACATCAATAGAAACTATGAAACATGTTTGCTAAAGGTTATTCCATGTACCTTTATTTGTAATAGCCAAAGACTTATGAAAAAGATAAAGGCTGGATTAACAAAGGAAGATGATAAGGATGGTCCCACAATTATAATAAAAATCATTTCTTGTGAAGCCACATAATTCTAATCACTCATTCTTTGAGTTGGTTTTCTTACTCATTGAGAACCTTTGTTCTTTAACAGCTAATTTATAGGAATTTGGTACTTCAAATTATAACAGGAAGATGAAAACATCCTAATCTTGACAAAGAAGTCTCCCCAATGTGATTTCTTAATTGAGAAGTGAGATGTGAGGAACTACAGTAGGCTTTCCCACATTCTTACAATTCATAAGGCCTCACTCCACTGTGAGTTCTTCTCTTTAGTGAGGGTTGAGGAATCACTGAAGGCTTTCCCACATGGCTTACATTCAAAAGGGCTCTCTCCCCTCTGAGTTTTCATATGTATAGTGAGGGTTGAGTAATCACTAAAGGCTTTCCCACATAACTTACAGCCAGAGAACTCTCTCCACTGTGAACTTGCATATGTAAAGTGGAGTTTGACTTTTGACAAAAGGCTTTCCCACATACCTTACATTTATAAGGCTTCTTTCAACTGTGAATTTTAATGTGAGAAACAATAGGAATGACTAAAGGTTTTCCCACATTCCTTACATTGGTAATGCCTTTCTCCATTGTGAATTTTTGTATGTTCACTTATCTTTGATAAATGCCTAAAGGCTTTTCCACATTGCTCACATTTGCAAGACCTCTCTGCACTACGACTTCTTAAGTAAAAAGTGAGGTATGAGAAATTTTTTAAGCCATTCCCATATTTCTTAAATTCACAGGACCTCCACACTGTGAGTTCTTTTTCTATGTTCAGAGAGCTGATAGGGCTGATGAAATGTTTACCCACATTTCTTAGATTCATAGTGCCTCTGTCCACCATGACTTCTTATATGTTTAGTGTGGTTTGAGGGCCAACCAAATGATTTCCCACATTCCTTATATTCACAGGACCTCTCTCCACTCTGAATTTTTTAATGTGTAGAGATATGTGACAGCTGACGAAATGCTTTCCCACATTCCTTACATTCATAGGGCCTCTCCTCTGTGAATTCTTTTATGCATAAAGAGGTTTGAGAGCTGACCAAATGCTTTCCCTCATTCCTTACATTCATAGGGCCTCTCTCCACTGTGAATTCTTTTATGTGTAGAAAGCTGTGATAGCTGAGTAAATGCTTTCCCACATTCCTTACATTCATAGGGCCTCTCTCCACTGTGAATTCTTTTATGTGTAGAGAGGTGTGAGGTCTGACTAAATGCTTTCCCACATTCCTTACATTCATACGGCCTCTCTCCACTGTGAATCCTTTCATGTCTAGAGAGAACTGAAAGCTGACGAAATGCTTTCCCACATTCCTTACATTCATAGGGCCTCTCTCCAGTGTGAATTCTTTTATGTCTAGAGAGGTGTGAGGGCTGACGAAATGCTTTAGTACATTCCTTACATTCATAGGGCCTCTCTCCACTGTGAATTCTTTTATGTAAAGAGAGCGAAGAGGAACAACTAAATGCCTTCCCACATTCGTTACACTCACAGGGGCTCTCTCCACTGTGGATTCTTTTATGTCTATAAAAGGTTGAGGAAGAACTAAATGCCTTCCCACATTCTTTACATTCATAGGGCCTCTCTCTGCTGTGAATCCTTTCATGTCTAGAGACGTCTGAAAGCTTACTAAATGCTTCCCCACATTCCTTACACTCATAACCCTTATCTGTTCTGTGAAATTTTGGATGAAACATCAGGGATGATGGATGACTAATGATTTTACAGCATGCTTCACACCCGTATTTATGACCTCTCACATGTGTACAAAAGGATAAGAAACTACAGACATACTTCCCACATTTTTTACGTTCACAGTGTTTCTCACCAGTGGATACTGTCATAGGAACCTTAAGGGTTGACATGCAAAAGTCCTTCCTGTGTACATCAAACTTGTGGGGCTTTTTTCCCTTAAGAGTTTTCACAGAAGTGGTTCGATGAGAGGGACAACTGCAGGCTGCTCCACATTCCATACAGTGATAGGTATTGTCTGTGGAGGGCAATCTGGTGTGACATTGAGGTGATGACTCGTCCATGAAGGCTGTTCCCCACACACAGGATTGAAAAGGACTGACCTCCGGAGGGTTCCTCTGTACCACAGCCAGATCTGCAACACGGCTGAAGCTTTTCCCACACTGACTGTCTTCATTACCTTCATAGAGGATCTTTCCATTATGACTTCTGTTAAAGACAGGAAACATGCTGATGAAACAAATTTGTTCTCATTCATCATCATCAAACACAGTGTATGTGCATGGCTTTTACCCTGACCCTGATTTATCTCCTCTTTCACTGGTCAATTTACCTAGCTAAAGTATTACCATTATGGTAACAATTTTTCTAGAATACTATGCTTTCTGGTAATTGCATCAAAGTGAAGAATGTGTAAAATATTGTATATCTTACATTATGAAAATGTTGCATTGTAAAAATGTTCTGAACCCTTAGTTTTCAGCTAGATTTATACACATAAACAAATATAGTTGTATACATATATATGTATGTGTGTGTGTGTATATATATATATATATATATATATATATGGGTCTATGTTGAAGGAAAAAAGTCAATAATGTACTGAAGGAATTGGCAAAAATCAAGGCTCCAAAAACTGACAGAATATCCATAGAGATCTTTCTACAAACAGATGCCCTGCTGATGGCACTCTCTCATCTATGCCAAGACATTTCAAAGATAGCTACCTGGCCCAATGACTGGAAAAGATCCATTTTGTACCCATTCCAAAGAAAGGTGACAAGAGAATGTGGAACTTATTTAATGGAATCATTAATATCACATGGAAGTAAAATCTTCCTGAACGTAATTTAAAAATTTCGCAGCAGCATATTGACAGGAAGTCTCTGAAAGGCAAGCTGGATTCAGAAAGGGACATGGAGTGACGGGTATCATTGCTGATGTCAGATGGATCTTAGCTCACAACAAAGAATACCAGAAAGTTGTTTACTTGTGTTTCACTGACTATGCAAAGACATTCAACTGTGTGGATCATATGGAAAACATTAAGAAGAATGGCAAATCCAGGACACTTGATTGTACTCACGAAGGACCTGTACAAAGACCAAGAGGCTGTCATTCAAACAGAACAAAGGGAGATGGCATGGTTTAAAAGCAGGAAAGAGTGTGTCAGCGTTGTATCCTTTTCTCATATTTATTCAATTTGTATGCAAAGCAAATAATACGACAACGTGGGCTATATGAGGAAGAATGTGGCTTCAGGATTGTTGGAACACTAATTAACAACCTACCATATACAGAGAACACAATTTTGCTTGCTGAAAGTGAGGATGACTTGAAGCACTTAATGATTAAGATTTAAGCCTTCAGTCTGCAGTACGGATTACACCTCAACATAAAGAAACTCCTAACACTTGGACCAAGAAGCACCATCATGATACACTGAAAAAACACTAAAACTGGGATTTGTATCACTTGGGTCCACAATTAACACCCATGGGAGCAGGGGTCAAGAAAACAGATGATGTACTGCCCTGAGCAAATCTGCTATACAAGATTGCTTTAAAGTGCTGAAGAGGAAAGATGTCTCTTGATGAATAAGGTGCACCTAACCCAAGCGATAGTATTTTTAATTGTGTCATATGCATGTGAAAGCTAGACAAAGAATAAGGAAGCCCAAAAAAGAGTTGATGCTTTTGAGTTGTTGCACTGAGGAAGAATACTCCAAGTACTGCAGACTGCCAGAAGAACAAACAAAGCTGTCTGGCCTCACAATCCTCCCTATACTTGAGCCCACAGTTGCTGCCATGTGTCAATCCATCTTCTGGAGGGTATTCCCATCTTTTGCTGACCTTCCAGTTTACCAAGCATGATATACTTCTCCAGGAAATGGTCCTTTCTGAAAACGTGACCTAAGTAGGTGAGATGACATCTGGGAACTGTCAATTCCAAGGACTATTGTATTTGCATGTCGTCCAGGACATATTGGTTCGTGATTCTGTGAGCTCATGATTTTTTCAGCATTATCCACCAACACTATAATTCAAAAACATCAACTCTTCAATGTACAGCTTTCATATGCATAGAAGGCAATTAAAAACACCATGGCTTGGGTTAGGTGTACCTTACTCTTCAAACTGACTTCTTTGCACTTCCACACTCAAAGAGCTCTTTTACATCATATTCAGCCAGTGCAAGACATCATGTGATTTCTTTACTGCTGCTTCCATGCAGTTGATTGTGGAACCAACATGAAATATTTGACACCTTCAATGTTTTCTCCATTCATCACAATGCTATTTATTCCTCCAGTTCTGAGGATTTTTGTTTTATGTTGAGGTGTAATCCATACTGCAGACTGTACTCCTTCATCTTCATCAATAAGTGCATCAAATCATCTTCACTTTCTGCAAGGAAAGTTGTATGTAATGAGTCTTCCTCCAATCCTGATGTAACGTTTTACTTCACAGAGTCCAGCTTTTTGGATTATTTGCTCAGTACAGATTGAATGAGTTATGTTCAAAGAATACAACCATGATGCAGACCCTTCCTGATTTCAAACGATGCAGTATCCCATTGTGATGATCAAATGACTGCCCCCTGGTCTATGTAGAGGTTCCTCATGAGAACAATTAAGTGTTCTAGAATTCCCATTCTTCTCAATGCTACCCATAATTTTTTAGGATCCACATAAATACTTTAGCATAGCGAATTAAAAAAAATAAATAAAGTCTTTCTGGTATTCTTTGCTTTCAGCCAAGATCCATCTGATATCAACAATGACATCCCTCATTACACATCCTCTTCTGAATCCAGCTTGCATTTCTGGACATAACCCATTAATATATTGCTACAAATTTGTTTGAATTATGTACACTCAAATTTTGCTTGTGTGTAATACTAATAATACTAGTTGATAATTTCCACATTCTCTTGGATCACCTTTCTCTGGAATGGATACAAATATGAATCTCTTCCAGTCAGTTGGCCAGGTAGCTTTCTCCCAAATTACTTGTCATATATGAATAAATACTTCCGAATCAGAATCTCCCTATTGAAACATTACACAGGATAATGAATCAATACCTGCAGCCTTGTTTTTCTCCAAATACTTGACTTCAGATTTGACTTCTTCTTTGAACTCCAGTGCTTCTTGATCATGTGCCAATTCCTGATATATGATGCTTCAACAGTGAAAATATCTTTTTATACAGTGACTCTGTATATTCTTTCTGTATTCTTTTGATGCTTCCTTCCTCATTCAATATTTTCCCCATAGAATCCTTGAACACTGCAACTACCAGTTTCAATTATGTCATCAGTTTGATGGTGCAGTAAATTACCTGGTACGGCTTTTCTAGCCGTATGTAAACTCCATGGTGGAATTTGCTGTGAGAAACTGAGTAGCTTCTGATTGTTAAAATTATCCACCTGGGGTATTTCTGTTGGGAGTGGCACAAAGTAATGTTCTGGGAAGATCGCTCTCTCTCAGGTGCATAGAATTCTGATATTGTGATTGATTAGTTTGGCCACTCTGCCTCCCTCAAAAGGAGGCCTCCTCGAGGCAGAAGTCTCTCTGACTGCTGGCTGAGAAGAACGTGCTGCTGAGAAAAATGCGCTCCTGAGAGACACATGCTGCTGGGAAAGAGACGCAAGAGACACACATTGCTGAAAGAGACACTGAGGGGCACGCACTGATGGGAGAGAGATTGTTGGCTGAGAGACAGCAGGCTGAGAGAGACTGAGTGTTTTTCCTGAACTTGAATTGTAGCCTGGTGCTTCCCTAATAAACCTCATAATCTGTGAGTTCTGTGTGGCCACTGCAGTGAATTATCGAACCCAGCAGAAAGGTGGTGAATGCTGCGGGAGGAACCATTAGTGTCAGGGTTGGTGAAAAGGCTGGAGGGAGGCAGCATGTCTGGCTTCGCAGGAATAGGCCTTGGGCTATGGATGATTCTGTCTTCCTCTTGTGGGGATAGAGGAGGTCGGAAGATGCGGCATCCTTGTCCCTTTGGCAAGTTCTTTCAGCTTGAGAAATGCCAAACAGATCTTTATACATTTCATTATAATAAGTGACTCTGTCTTCTCCAGCTGCTCTTTGAAATCTTCTCTTCAGGACTCTTACCTTGTAATTTCTTCCATTTAGTTTAGCCACTCTCTGTTCATGAGCAACTTTCAGAGTCTCTTGACATCTACTTTGTACTTTCCTGTCTTTTAAAATTACTTTTTGCTTTCTTTCTGACTGATGTTCTTGATGTCTTCCAACAAGTCAACTGGTTTTTGGTCATTCCTGTGTCAAATCGCTTCTTCAAATAGTCTCTAAATTCAGATGGGATATAATCAGGGTCATATTTGGGTTCTTGTGGTCTTGGTTGAATTTTCTTCAGCTTCAAGTTCAATCTGCATATGAGTAATTGATGTTCTGTTCCACAGTCAGCTCCTGGCCTTCTTTTGCCTGAAGATATTGAGCTTCTCCATCGCCTCTTTTCACACAGGTAGTTAATCTGATTCCTGAGTATTCCATCCGGTTACATCCACGTGTACAGCCATAGTTTGTGTTGTTGAAAAAAGGTATAAGCAATGAAAAACTTGTTGGTCTTTACAAAACTCTATCACGCAACCTGTGGCATCGTATTTTTCAACTACTGATGATTCTTCTTTGTTTCCAACTTTATATTCCAATCT